TCCCCCACCATCCTCCTTCCCACCTTTCCAAATATCCGTAATGTACGCCTGTGGCGTCCAGAAATTCGACGGCAGAGGGACAATACGATATGACGAAGCGTAGTAGCGTACATTTTCTCTTATCGGGAGCTGTGCATCTGCCAGTACGAGGAAACGTGTTTACGAAATATTTTAATTACCTTATCGTCAAATCGCCGCGCTCCGGCAGCTGCCGGTCGAAACGCGTGCTTCTAATTGCCGAGCTAGATGGTAGACGGACTTATAGTGCCTGGTTCCATTTTTTTTTTTTTTTTTTTTTATTATTACGGGACGAGGATGCATTACCCGGTCAAGAAGTGTCACGTACTTGCGCAACCGTTCATTCATGCAATCGTAGAAACACTTTATTGAAGATCTTGTAAGGATTAATTTTTCCCCCTCGTGCTCCGCGACGCGACTTAAAATGGCATCCGCCAGTGTGACACGCGATCCTTTTGTGACACTGCATAATGTTCGAAATTTAAAAGAAACCGCGCAATTAAAATTATTGAGAAAACTTCAATTGTTTAAAAAAAAAAAAAAAACGTTATATTGGGTGGATCCATATATTCGTTCGGTTTTTGAAGGCTAAAATTTTTTTGAAAGTAAAATTTTTGAAGGCAACCAGAACCGGAGATACTCAGAAAAAATTTTCACTACTAACAAAAACCGAACGAATATATGGATCTACCTAATATATTCTTATATTAAATAATTTATTTCGGAATTTATCCAAAATTTGACCGTTCTTGGCTTTCTTTATCGTATTTGAAGTATTCACACATACGGTCGTGCTTAAAATTCTTAAATTATTGAGAAAATTATTCATCAATTTTTCGGGGATGAGAAACGTCGTATTGTCTCAGTGCTTCCTTTATCAATGAAAATCGTGGAGAAAGGGATAGGGAAACACCGTCAAAAAATCACGGATTTTTATGTTATACGATTTTCATTTACATGGACATGTATCCTTCGATTCGTCAATAAAAGCAACCGCCGTCACTTTGGCATCCCGGTAGTCTATATTTCCTTTCTTTGTACCGCGTATTCATTGCACGCGTGTCACATGCATGCGGTGGAGAGCCCGATAGAATTGTTAAACGGAGGGACCACGAGTTCTGTCATTCGCAAAAAATTTTTTGCGCTTGTCATTCAGAGGGAAGCCCTTTCCGGTCCCCGTTAACTTTCGTTGAAAAACGCCCACGTGATATCTCCCGTAGTTTACTTGAGATCAAGCAGTCAAGTACAATAGTTTACAGTGAAATTTTAAAAGGCGTGAAACCTTTAGGCTAAAAAGTGCCATGAAGAAATTGACCAGTCGT